CAATCTTCTCTATTCCATCCTCAAGACGTCTCTCCTCACCAACAGAATGATCTTCAAACATGGCATCGACCTATGTCAATGACAAAATTGTAATCTTCTGCAAATATTAAATGCAGAAAAGTATAACTACAATTTATTACAGCGTAATACATATTAAGAAACAGTCAAGGACCAATTCAATCCATGCTACATAACATCCCTGTCATTTACCTGTGCACCATTGAAAACCCCCATAACCTTTAGCTGATCAACCTTCCCCTTCCACACCTCTTCATCCCAGTCTTCAACGCGTGGAATGTGCCGATTACAAAGTGCTGTATATGCGTCACCATGGATGCAAAAATGCTCAAAGTATAAGATCTACCAAATCAGCAGTGAAAGAAAGTTAAAAAACAGTCAAGATCTACCAAACCAGTAGTGAAGGAAAGTTAAAAGACAGTCAAGATCTACCAAATCAGCAGTCAAAAAAAAAATCTTTAGAAAGGGACCACATTCAGATTCGAACTTATTAAGCTATGGTTTTTGACATTATCACTTCTACTAAGATCAAGTAATGTTGCATAAAGTAAAGCATTTTTCCATTCTTAGATTGCCTAATGAAACACAACTACTACAGGCATTCAAACTCTGCATCTGAAATGAAAACATGATAAATCTCAACTAATTTACATTGAAGCGTAAATCAAATAATCTCAATGGCATTATGTACCACAAGCATAACATACACAGAAGCATGAAACCAGTTGAAATACTCAGGTACACATATCGAGATCTGTTCTCCCAAAATTACAAGAAACCTGAATGAACAAATAATGAGAATTTGATGTACCACTATATACTGAAAATAGATTACCATCAAAACAACAATGCACCCAACAAACTCGAACTGATTTCTTTGCCTCTGATCGCGAAGAGAGTCAATCAGGTGGTCAAGGATGTATTTAGACCAGTTCATGTTCTTCAAATTGTCCACCTTGGCAACTACTGCAAGCAAGCTCTTCCTTATAGCAAACTTCGTCCTACGGCATAAGAGTCTGCAGAGCAAAAACAGCACAAACTTAACTTTGAAGTCTGTCCCGCTACTGTTGGTCTTCATTAGACTAGTTCTCAGTCTGGCCAAGCCTATCTCACCGCCATTATCCAACTGAATGTTAAATTCAGTCAGTAAATTATCATCCAAAGACAATTCACTTTCTAAAGCAGCTACATCCAAGCCTTCACTATTCAATCCCGTTACATACCCAACATGCTTAGGAGTCACCTTCAAACTTCTACCATGGACATTCAATGTCCTCTGCTCTGCATTGAAATGGTCCACCAACCAAGAACAGTAATCGTTATCTAGATTGAAAGCTAGTATCTTTAGAATCGGTGCAAAACCTAGATCCTTAATTGCATTCTCTTGTTCTGGCGTGAGCTTGTCAATTATTTCTTTCACCATATGCGTCGAGCTTCTAGTGCTATATGGTGACTGCAATTCAAATTTCAACAATTAAACTTACATATCAATCATCAATTGGAAAAACACTGAACAGCTCATCATATCAAGACATTTAAATAAACAAATCATCGGAAGTCCTATAACCAGTAAATCAATCTACTTACTCGTGAAATGGCTGCTCTAACTTGTTCAGACTGCAAGTTTTCTACATTCGCGCTGCTGCTTGCATCTGCTGCATCATGTCTTGCTTCCGTCCTCATTCTGGTTGAATTACTTTCAGCCCCTTCATTCTCTCCAATGTCAATACTACCACTTTGATGAATATCACATTCCAGATTATCACCTCTCTGCCGTACGTTACGACTGGTTCCTTCGCCTCCCGCCCTCCTCTTTCCCCTGCATACGAGTAATGTGACAAACATTCCATTGCAGGTTTCAAATTAACACTCCTAAACAAAATACGAAAGGAATCTAGCAAGCGTAATAAATCCAAAAAAAGCACAAACTTGTGAAAAGGGTGCACTCCCTCAGCTATTCGAATAAAAAGGGTGCAACTTAAGACTTATTTATAGTAAAGGCTGCCCTTTTATTTAACTTCTATACCACAACACTTTGTCGTGTACATTGAACAGTACACTTCATACAGAATCATAACAAAAGCCCTTCTCACTAATTAACCAGAAAAATTCAATCTTTTTCCCAAGGATTGCGGCATAGTCCACTTCAATTTCCCATGAAGAATTACACAATTAGCATTACAGATTCAGGTTTTATCAGGGTTTTAACCACCTGCGCAAAACCATCATGCAAACTAAAGTCTTCAAATTATGTTGGTTAATACCAACAACATGTTTGTGTTTGTTTTCCATTGTACACTAATAAAATTGAAAACGTTTAAAGACAAGTATGGAACTTTTGGGTAAATTTACTCACATTTTCAACTGAGAATTGTCTGTTCAAGAAACGGGCTTTGCCCAGTTCTTCTTCAGCTACTGTTCTCCTTCCTTCAGATCCCAACCATCGCCTTAAAAACTTACTTTCTCTTCTTGACTTCACCCAAATTTTAACCGAAAAGAGGTTTTTAACCGCTTTAACCCTAAACAGTCTTGTTACTGGTTTACTTATTTATTACTTTACCATTTTAACCTTAATTTTATACATTCAAGTTCTCGTGATTACTTATTTACTGGTTGACAATTTTTTATATGCTTTTCTAAAAACAATCAATTAATATGGAAAGGGCACGAACGGTGGTCACTAAATCATGTAGTGTATTGTCAATCGTTCTAGAATGATATAAGAGTTTTTTAACAGGTTGTAATTCATTATTCACTACTCATATATTTTTTGTAACAACTTCTGATTCCAAATACGTTTGGATAGTAGATTATTTGAGATTATTTTTAGATTACATTTTATGATTGCGTAAATATGAAATAGACGTTTGGATAGCAAGTAAATCGTATAAATTAGCGTTTAGACAGCAACTCAGCATTGAAATTAATCAGTTGACTTTGACTCCAAAATTTTTGATTGTGGGACCAAGAGTCTCATCCAATTCACACTTAATACACAAACTGTACATATTAATTTAGAGTTTGGCATTTTAAGTACCGTACATCTATCAATTGCACATCCAAACAATTACCTTGCTAGAATACAACCTTTAATTCCAAAAACACTTAACGGCGTCGTTGCCCCGTACTGCGTACATTTCAATTGCTATGTAGTCTCGCTTAGCCTTCCATTCCGCAAGCTCTGTAGGATATACATTCAATGCGAATGGCTGTGGTACTGGCTCGCCTACTTCTGGCTCTTGATTTAACTGCACATCCTTTGATTCGAACCTTTGAAAACGTGCATCTCCTAGTTGGTGCATTCTTAAAAAGTTGTGTAGCGCACAACAAGCAATATCTATAGTTATTTGAGTGCTCATATAGAAATTATCTACCGGACCCTTTAAAATTTTGAATCTTTTCTTCAACACACCGAACGTACACTTAATGACATTTCGAAGTTGCGAATGCCGAGTATTGAACAAACTTTTTGTCAGAAATTCAAGGCCCACGTTCTTATACAAGGGCATGAAGCCAGGAACATTCCTATATTCCGCATCGACTAAGTAGTATTGGCCTAATTGAAGAAGTTATTTTAGTTACTAAATGCGCTAACTATCACTCGTTTAGCATTTAAAGCATGCCATTTATTGACTTGAAAAATTGTTACGACTGATTACCAGGTGGCGGCGGTGGAAAATCAGACGGATACGCTAATGTAGACTCCAAGACTCGTGCATCATATGCACTATCCTCCCATACAGCATACATATAGATGAAACGCATGTCATGATCACACACCGCCAGAACATTTTGTGATTGAAACCCGTGCCGATTTGTATATGCCATTTGCTCTCCTGTCGGAGGACAAGCTGAGATGTGAGTGCCATCTATCGCTCTTACGGCATCCTAATATTCATGGAGAATATATTTGTTAGTTTGTAATGCTCGAACAACGGCGATCCTTCTCTTAAAATCTTCCTTATATATTTCTTTGAACCATGGATAAAAATTTGTTGAGTTTGCAATTCATGAATGAACTCCAATCTGGTCAGCTGGTCGTATTATTTCAGTTGCAAATAGACATAGATCTCGGAGCACTTTCCTTATATTTCAATAATCATCTCGATGGATCGATCAAAAATAGACCCCAACACGCGGTGCGTATGCTTGTGGCTCACTAACATTAAAGTTATAGCTAGCGCTTCCTGTATGGGCATACGCTGTTGGTAGTTTTGTGGAACGTATTGGTGCTCTACAAAGATATCGGACAGTTGCATAAAATTATCAACTGTGATTCGCATATTATCTATTGATCGTTTATGATGACCGTTCAGTAATCGCTCCACCCATTGTCGACGACTTAATGAGCCATCATGCTGCGGAATGGGTTGATTATTGGTTATGTGTGTAAGAGACGGATGCATTAGTATTAATGAGGCACTCATAACTAGTAAGGCATCATCCTCCTTATCTTGCCTTATGCGAACTGAATTGCATCCTCTAGCACCACGGCGGTTGTTCCATACCATGACAATTGAGTATATATCTGTATATATTATTATATAAGTGTGTTCATGTGTGTATATTTAATTCCATAAACTTATATATATACGTGGACGTATATAATTATTTCTATCTATAAAAGTGATACACAGTATAGAGATTGCATATTATACGAAAAATTACTACTTACCCAATCCACGGGCATACCAAGTATGAGCAGATATCTATGCCTATTCGTCAAAGGTCTTTTGTCTCTAAAACTCGTTCTTTCTTCTATATCGCAAGCAATTAGGGTGAAGTGCATATCCTAAAACCATATATTTATAGCCCTTATAACTGATGAACTAGTTACCAGATAAAATTTTGAAAAATCAAATAGCAGGTCTACATAACAGAAGAGCATATGCATTTCCTCATTTAAAGATACTTGTATGAAGTATAGACGATAAACTTAAAGTAGACATGACAAGACTCTAAAGAAAGCCTAAGGAAACATGACAAAGCCCATCAGAAAGCATATGCATTTCCTGTAATGAAAATTCGTAAGAAAAGCAAAACTAACTAAGATACAAATTCCTATAAATAAAAAAATCACCTTATAATCAGTCCTGACAAAACCCACTCCACCAAAGTTGGGTAGGGAAATACACACTAACAAACTAATTAAAATGATTGCTAACCCCTATGTTACATGTATCAAAATTGGGCATGCTATCCACGGGTGAAGCTGTGTCAAAACAAAACTTCGGGTCAGCAACAAATAAAAAAAATGACACAGCAACACACATAATTTCAAATATTAAATTTTCAGCGGCTACAATTCAAGCCAAGCCCTTCTCCCGCATCAACTTAAGGATATAGCCGTATCGGTTTGAATCAGAACTTTTAAGGAACACAACTCATTCCCCCTCTCTATCACTGTTGGCATAATGGCAGTAAGTATGTATTTTCCAATCATCGGAAATCTCCATTGTGTTGATCACGTCCTGACAGTGGATTACACTATATAGGGACTTGAACTCTATCTTACTCCATCTGTCCTCTAGTGCAAGTTCGGAGTAGTTCCCAATTTTGCCAATAGCATCCTCAAGACCAGTGGATGACCTTGTTGATTTTGACCCTCTAGTCTCCTCCGGCTCACTGCTTGTCTCTAGGCCTCTGTTTTAAAACTCGGACCGGACTGGCCGGTCGAACCAGTCGAACCGGGAACCGGCCAGGTAACCGGTCCGAGTCATATTAAAAAATCGAAAATTTAAAATCCGGTCAAAGCTGGTCAAAAACCGGATTTGACCGGGAAAAAATCGGTTTTTCCAGTTCAACAGTAATTTTTTAAAAAAAAATTCAAACTTTTTAATATTATGTTTTGACCCCCTAAATTGTTAAAACTTATTGATATACCTCAAATATTTGATACTTTATAAATATTGTCCTAAAATTTGATGTTATTTTTCAATTAAATTCATAATTTTAATTCTAAACTTGTTAATATTTATTAAATAATATAAATTGCTACTTGATTGTTCTAATTTCTTTGTATTTTCTTGTTAAATATATTTGAAACATCAAATATATATGAATATACCTTTATTAATATCAATATATTATTAGATATTATATATATAATATTTTAATTTTTAAATAATATTTATTTATGACGTCATCCGGTTCGACCCCTATCGACGTCCGGTCGAACCCATTGACCCCTGGCCCCTGACCTCGGCCGAGTCACTATCCGGTCCGGTTCTGAAAACATAGCTCTAGGCTTGAGACTCGCCGTTTTCCTCCCACAGCCCTTGGGATTGGATTAATATAGTAGACATCATTTTTATCTCCTTATTCGCCCATATCCCTAGGATGATCGTTTCTCGAGTTAGAAGCTTTACCTTTTTCCTTCCGACTCCTAGCAGAAGTGTTGGCCCTTTGACAACGAGATGGTTCTGGTGGAACTATCTCGCTTGCAGATTGGGCACGGCTCCCTATAGCGTGTTTTCCAAGCAATATTGGAATCAGCCGATCATACCAGTAGCATGAGTTCTCTTTTCTGAATTCAGCATATGAGGAATTGGTCTAATGAAAAGCAAAATAGTAGTCAACACCAAGAAATTTTGCCCAAACTATTATGTAATTACTTGTCAAACTAACAGGACAGTTAATGTATCAGATAAGCAAAAATCTGAAGCAAACCAGTAACAATAGAGCAAGAGATAGCACAAAGGGAAAGCCAGCTTTATCCCCTATTAAATAGCAGGTATGAACTACCCCAGAATCTCCATGTACTATTTGCACATTAAAGCTATTGTATCCAATGAACAAGCAATTGAAGGGTCCTGAGACTGTCTACTAAATTTGATACTAAATAGTATTCAACAACACAAAAAACAGTAGCTGAACTAAATGTCTAGTTCCATCAAATTTTTTAATGTAAGAATGAACTAACAAATTTAAAAAGTTGCAAAATCTACCAAGCTTTACAAGAATCAATCATATTAATACACATAAAAAGAAAAGTAAACAGCAAAGCTTTTTCCCGTATGGTCATTGTACACATAAACTTAAATGTCCTCCTAGCACAATTTCCTTTGTTTGAATGTTTTCCTAGTTGTAGATAGGATGTATACAGAGATGTTGAAGCAGCAGCGACCAAGACACATAGCATATATTACCATACTAATACATCTCCTATAGTAATGCACTACCTTTGTGGCCAAAGTATGACACTGAGTTTGCAGCAAGTCTGAATATCTATTTTTGATCAGCACCAAATGCTAAGCAGGTGATTCCCCAACTCATTTGTCAACAGTTTGCTGAAATAAACAAGTATTCATTTCAAGAGCATCCTAAGCAAGTAAATTCACAAAATTAAAAACAGCTATAATTGCATACCTACATCAAGTGTCGCGCCCCATTTTTTGAAAAAAAGAAATTACGGATTTAGAAAAATGGATTTTGATTTATTTTGAGTGAAAAATGAGTTTTTCATTGAACAATAAATAAAAAGAAATTGGCCTAAATGGGACTTAAAAAGTGCGACGATTTTGACCCAAAATAATAGTTTAAAAAGGGTTTTAATGAAAAATAGAAGTTGCCACTTGATATTAAGTTAAAGTGTACCAAGTCACCTAAAATGAATTTTGAATAAAAAAAAAAGTAGAAAAACCATTTTTAAACGACTCCAAGTTTTCAAAAATCAGAAAAAAAGTGTTCGAGAGTTACATTTGAAGAAAGAGAAGGCAAGGATAAAATCCAAGGCACCCTTTCAACCTAACCAAGGCTAGTTGCTTGATTTAATAAAAAATTTTCTTATTTTAACCTAAAAACTTATCACATTTGAATGTCACTATATATATGCAAAACTAAATCTAGGAGGATATTGGAGGGTTGGAATATCTCTTCAAAACTTAATTAGTGCCAATCACATTAATTGTGATGCCCAAGAGTGACTCTTTGAAGAAGTCACGAATATTCAAAAATATGAGACTCTAAGAAAAGAAAAGAAAAGAAAAATAATAATATACAAATATACATGATCTAAAGGAATGCATCATAACGGGTGTGGGGAGCTAAGATTCGTGACTAGATCTCCTCTTTTTATAGAGGGAATACGAGCGTGTTAAGACTAGAAAGCCAAATTCGTCCATATCCCATATTCGAGGGGTATTTCCTATTTAGTCAAGCAAATGACCTAACCTAGTTCTAATTTTTTTAAATAAAATACAAGTCTAATATCATGTCTCATACATAGGGATAAGGAATATACGTATAGGGGAAATATGGGATAAGGGATATACATATAAGAGAAATGTCATGCAAAATGATAAAAATCCTAAAAAGTAAGAAATATGCATGAAAATGTAGTGTTTCGTCACACAAACATGATCTAACGCGTGAACGGTTCCTAAGGGTCTAGCATTGGACTAACCCACATCTATAAATCCTCACTAGCGTTGGACTAGTGGGAAATTGGGACGAAAGACCACATCTAGTATTAGACTAGTGTGGTGACATCATACATTTATTACAATTAAGTGCCTGTTTGATAACATAAAAAAGTGCTGAAACTGAATTCATTCAGACATTCAGATGTTGTGGGTGTTTGATAAATAAAAATTCATCTGCTGAACTTATTAAGTGGTGCTGAATTTGTATGTATTTTTTTCAGCACAAGAATCGTAGCTGAATGCTTAATTTGATAAGAATCAAGAAATTTACTTCAACTACTTTATCTTATCTACCAAATATATCCATGTTTGTTAATTACATTCAAAATCCTTATTTGATTAACAACCTAATATTCTCTATTGAAAATCCTTATCTAATTAAACAAAACAACATAATATTCTCTATTCAAAATTTTTTTTAACAATAGTATTTTTTTGAAGTAATTTTCATCCACAAACATTTATATTTTGATATATATTTTTTTGTGCAGATAAATATTATTCATGTGATGCACCTTATCCACACACACGTGGCTTTATGACACCATATCGAAATATTAGATATTGATTGTCTGATTTTTGAAATGCTTCTCGTTCAAGATCAAAAGAAGAACGTTTTAACCAAGCACATGCAAGATTGAGAAATGTAATTGAACGTGCTTTTGGAGTATTAAAAGCTCGTTTTCCCATTCTCAAAACGATGAAACCATACCCTTTTCCCACACAAGGAAACATTGTCATTGTATGCATTGCTTTTCACAATCATTGTCATTTTCATACCTAACAATTTTAAGTTAATTAAATCATAGGTTCTATTTCCTTTTTAGATTAAAAGATAGAAGGGCAAAATTGTATAATTTAACTTATTAAGCATTAAGTTATGAATATTTATCAAACAGTATAAATAGATTCAGCATTAAGATTCAAACATTCATATATCTCTTTTCAGCGCTTAAAATTCAACAAATTAATTATTTCAATATTCAGAATTCAGAATTCAGATTCAGTGTTATCAAACGGAACCTAAACAAGTCATATAAAATATAATAAAGCAAATAAATACATAAATCACATAAACACATAGCACATAGGCATGATATCTAGATGCAAGGTCCTAAAAAAACAAGTAACACGTAACACACAAGCATGCAAAATATATAAATCAAATAAAGCAAATAAAGCCCTAACTATTACATTGAAGGGGCCCTAACTACAATCTAAAGGGAAAATAAAACAAATAAATAAAATAAAATAAATACCTAACTATTATAATTTTGGCATTCAAATGCCTTTCAAATAATCAAATTTAAATTTAAAACAAATACGAAAAATTAATAAAAAATAAAGTGACTAAATAACTAAGTAAATGAAATAAAAATAAAAAAATATTCAAAAATCATGCAATTATACACATAGAAACACATATGATCAAATAAAATTAAAAATAAAGGATAGAATATATCTCCCTTGAATTGGTGACCTAAGAAAACGGAATTTTTATATTTACCCTCCAAAACAAATAAAAAGGTCAAGGCATCACTTTAATTAACAAATAATCACAAGAAATAAAAAATAAACACGAAATTGAATCAATTAAAATATTTACATAAAAATAACAACCCATATTCAAGGGATTTAAAACAAGTAAGGGCATAATTGAAACAATTAAGAAACTTTAGGGGTCAAAAATGAAAGTAAAATAAAGTTTAGGGAACTATTTACAATTAACTGGGACTTAATTGATAGAATTTATGAAAGTTTTGGGGTCAAATTATGAAGTCCTAAAAACTTTGAGGTTAAATTATGAAGAAGGGGAAAATGGAGGGGCTGAAATTATAAATTAAACAAATAATCTACATTAGACGGCCATTTCCGTCCTCCTTTGCAATCAGAGCAATACCAAAAAATCATTCTAATGTCAACTCTAGCCATTCTCAACAGACACCGAAATCCACAAAATAAAACTCCCTCTCCTAACATTAATTTGAATTCATACAAAAGGAAGCATAAGGGAACGAAAACAAAAAAAAAATGCAGGACGCCAATACACCAAAATTTCTCAAACGCAAGGAAATGAACTCGCTGACTTATCCGGTTTCTTTACACGCAAAAATGCAGCTAAATTGTCTCCAAGTAGAACTTTCAAACAGACATTTTATCAAACAACAAATGAGCATAAGAAAGGTCACTGGTTCTCTACTCCAAAATTTATCAGAAACAAAAAATTTCAGTCCAATCAACCCATAAAGCATGTGCGGTCAAAAAATTATGGACAATCACCGAAAAATTGCAAGAAACAATTCACAAGAGACATTCTTGGCGTTGGGATTTCCAATGTTTGCTCTTGAAGAAGCAAAAGAAAACTGATATTTTAAGTGGGGGTAAAAATGGCTTACAGTGCTCTTGCTTGGTGAAATTGCGCAGGTGATGGTGGTGGATTCGATGAGCCTGCAACAAGCCACAATTCCTTGCTGATTCCTTTGATTCTTGGTTTTCCTTTGCTCTGTTTCTTTGCCGAAGCTTTTCCCTTTTTCCTTCCCCCTTTTTTTCCAATTTTTTCTTCCGTCTACTCTCTGGCTCCCCGTAACTCTCCCTCAATTTTCCAGATTTTCCCCCTTTCCTTTCGCTCTCTTTTTCCTCTGTTCTTCCTTATCCGTCCTCTGTTCTTCCTTATCCGCCACTCCTCTAGTTTTTTCTCCTCTCCTTGCTCTGTTTTTTTTTTCTCAGCCGAAAGCCTCCTCTGTTTTTTCTTAGCCCTCTCTCTTTTTTTCGTTTGATTTCTTTTTGCTCTGTTTTCTTTTTTTCTTCCCCCAAGCCTCTTCTTGCTCTTCCCTTTAGTTCCCGTAGCTAGTTTTCTCTTTTTTTTTTTTAACTTTTTTTTTCTCCCAAAAAAAATTCCTAAACCAACAAGTGTCATCATACTAATCAAACCATAGGGACATTTGTCTAGTGCTTATCCATCACACCTAACCTTCTTGCATGGCTTCCAAGTGTCTAGCCATCTAACCTCCCTTTGCATGTGTTATCAACTAAGAATGAGGACACTTGTCCTATTTGCATGTACTCCACTTGTTTAATATCTCCCTAATACACTTGTCTAATAATCCCCAAATACACTTGTCTTCTTATTTTATTTATTATATTTTTGTTTTTTTCCAAAATCATTTTAGGTAAACAAAAATGTTAACTCCTAATTGCAAATGCGTTGTACAATTTTCTTTTATCTTAAAGAAATTGAATCTAAGAGGATTAACACATATTTTTGTGAAAATTTTCCTTTTTCAAAAAATTTAATGCAAAAATATCTTTAAAAATAAAAATAATAATGAAGCTAATTTATTAAATAAGTAAAAATAACACTAATTATCATTTAATCTATTAAAATAAAATAAAATACAAATACAAATAAAAATAAAGCCAACATTGAATTAAATAAAGGGTTAAATACCAAAAACCCCTCTGTGGTTTGACTAATATTCACTTTACCTCCCTATGATTTGGAAACCCACAATTTGACTCCCCATCGTTTCAACTAAAGTAAAAGTCTGACGGAAAACATCAAAACTAATGTCTGAACCGAAAATGTCAAAATTGCCCCTCTATAAGTCAAACCCTTGGAAGAATGTTTCGTGCATTTGAAAATGTGTAAAATACCAAAAATTCCCTGTGGTTTGTCAAATGTACACTTTATCTCCCTATGGTTCGGAAACCTACAATTTAACTCCCTGTCGTTTCACCTAAAGTGAAAGTCTAACAGAAATACCGTTATTGTAGATGTTTTCTGCTAGACTTTCACTTTAGTTGAAACGACAGGGAGTTAAATTGTAATTTTCCAAATCATAAAGAGGTAAAGTGAACATTAGTCAAACCACAAGGAGGTTTTTGGTATTTAACCCTTAAATAAATGAAATTTTTGGTGTCTACACCAAGTTTTCCCAGTGTTCGTCATCAGCAGTGAAGCAGTAGCTATCCACAACCCACCCAATCCCGATCTCTGATTTTGAGGATATCCGACGCAGATTACAGAACAAGTCCCTTTTTTTTATGTGATTGAATCTGGTCTACAATTGTTGCCTAGTGATAGTCATGATGCCATTACTGACCAAATGGCCTGCCAACATGGCATAGTTCATCTCAAGCGACTTCTTGTTGTCCCACCAATTATTTTCCCTAAAGCTAACATAGGCTATGAGAAAAGCTTCGTCCATTGCATCAGTCCATTGAATTCGAGAAGCCATTTGCTAAAATGTGTGGAAAGAAAAAAAAAATATGAGCAGGCTAGATATTAGAAACTAGTTTGAAGTGCATTGGAAAAGAGAAATCGACAAATAATAGTATGAGAACAAAGGTGTTGGACAAAGTACAAATTTACTTGGTCAACGTAGGTGGAAAGGCAGTCGATGTAGTTGTTGGAGGCAGTTGACGAACGGAATGAGCAATCGAAAGTACAGTTAACAGGTAAAGCTACAAAATTCCAACAACAACTAGTAAGACTCATGTAATTGGCAGCGAAAATGAGTACAAAATACATATACACAATGGAAGAAGGACATACAATCGCAAGAAGGCTTCTTCCTCTTGTCAGAGGTTATAACCGAAGATCTAACAGCGTCAACACCAAGCAATGGCAGCAGCTGGACATGTGTATTATTATTCATCAGTTCAAAAGTTTACCAAGTACATGAAAGAAATGTTTGGCTGACAAGTAAATACAATAGCAAGTAGATGAACTGTAATTGAGGACAAGGAATCTCATTGACTTAATTTTTGTTAGGTTTGTCCCCTCTTATAGATAAAACAATTAAGAATAGTACCAAAAGGGACTTAAAAATTGGAGTACTAAAGATTAATTTTTTTTGCATTTTTTTTGTTGTGGATAAGGATATCGTGCAAGGACTGACAAACCAAGAGAGTAATTTTGAAAGTTAAATGGTAATGGTGGGTAATACACGAGCTGTTTCTGCCTTGACTTATTAATTTGCTATTACCAAAGAAATTCAGTTCTCTTTAGTGGATACATTTGTGTGCATTGTGTATAGTATGAGCCTTCATATACGCAGAATTAGTGTAGCATAACTCAAAATCAATACATTTCTACTGTTTTCACATTAATACTAAGCAGAAAATCGCCTCCGTAAACAACAGATGCTGACTCAACTATTAACAACTACAATTGCTTTAGGCTTTTTGGCAACCTTCTGGAGATTTGCTTTAGAATGATTTATAGCTCTGACAAATTTTATTTTCCAAGGCTAAGACATGGACTTAAATTCGTAAAGGATTTTTCCTCAAGCAGTAGCTTGTTGAAACTTTAACAATTAGCAACCTCTTCAAGATTTGAAATAGCTGAAGTACAAATGAAAGCGTTGAAGCCATTTTCTTGTCCCAATTCTATCAACCGTTTTTTATTTTTGGGATTATAATACTGGCCAAATTTATGAGATAGTAAAAACATGCATAGTCAGTGTTTGGGTACAAATATTTTGGCTTGCAACAGTTTATAATGGCCAGAACTTGCAAAAAGCCCGATTACAAGTGAGGCAAAATAAAACAGAGCACCTACAAGCAATTGAACTGTAAGTGTCAATCTCATCACAATATATACTCCATTTCCTTTGTTTCTATACTGAGAAGACAGTCAATTCTCTTTAAATAAAAGCCATGTGAATTGCGAATATGAAAGCTAGAAATTTTCTGAGTTGAGGCATAAAAGAGGGAGAATAGCCACATCAAACAAGGAGACAATCCAACAATGGAAAAAACTGCTGAAATTAGCATGATTCATTCCAAGTAATAATTAGAAGACAAATCTAACTTCCACATGAATGAGCTAACACATGAATGTGGTAGCATGGGAGAACTTGCTCGTCTGGCCGTGTTAAAGCTCTTTCAAATCGCTAGTCGAAAATGCAATTGACTGGCGAATTAAAACTGAGCACCTTCTTCACCGCACTTTCAAATTATTTTTTGCAAGTTATTGTTGGCCGATCGGTTGTCTAATTTGCTGGATCTGCTTGGAGCTGTATCGCTGGTGGGATGTAGAAAAAAATTGGAGAGAAGAAAGGTGCACTTTAGTTGTCGATTTGAGTGAAGAGTAAATTCTCTCTTTCTTTACCCAAACAGTTACTTTTCTGACTTTGCCTCAGTGGTTGCCACATCTTCTGTTTTGTTGTTTAGTTAATTGCTTGTGAAAAAGGCTACTCGCAAGAAGAAATCCAAGGTGTACGATCCAACCAGGGGCGGATCTACAATGGGGGCACTGGGGGCACGGGCCCCCACTACTCCTCTTAAATTTCTATAGTATTCATAAAATTTTGATATAATTTCAAGTGTACCCCCTGGAGTTTTGTGTATTCAATTGGTTTATATGCTCTTAAAGTTGGCTTTGATTTTATCTATTGCTACAGCTACTGTAGAATGGGTTTTTTCAGTTATAAATATAGTGAAGAATTGGTTACAAAATAGAATGGAAGACATTTGAATGAATTATCGCTTAGTTACTTGCATTGAGAAAAATATACTTTGTGAAGTTCAAAATAAGAAGGTTGTAAACTGTTATCAAAATATGAAACTCGTCGTGAGCAATTGTAAATTGTTTAGTTTGCTTTTTGAAATAAAATTATTATTACATTAATAATTTTGAGTTTGTCTCTTTATGTTTTTCATGGAATATATACATCATTTGTACTTATTGGTGAATATTTTTTTTTGCTTAAAAAACTAGAAAAAGAGTAGGTAAAAAAGTTTTAGAATAGCTTTTGCCCCCACTGAAAATTTTTTCTGGCTCCGCCACTGGATCCAACACTTATTTATTGTGAATAGTCCAAACTCTCATTTATCAAAAAAGGTTAAATAACAGTCCGATTTTACTTTCCAAATGCACCCATTGTAACATGTTAATACATTTTTCTGACAGTGCAATTCAATGTCAACCATTACTAAATAGTGAAGAGTTCTTTGACATGTTGTAATTCATTGTCAACAATATATAATTTAGGAAAAATAGTTCAAAACGTCCCTTATATTTTGTAAAATGACTTTTTTCATCCCTCACTTTTAAAAGTATATTTTTACGTCCCTTACAAATTTGCATTGACCAAATTTGGTGCCTACCTAAATTTCAACTAGTTTTTAGCCGAAATTCATCACGTACCTTGCATGTGATCATTTTTAGGGGTAAAATTATCAAATTAAAATTTACATAATTCGATCTATAGTCTCTTATATTTTTCAAAATGAATTGTTTCGTCTCTCATATTTCACAAAATAAATTTTATAATATCTCATATTTCACAAAATGAATTTTTTCATCTCTCATTGACCATATGTACAAATAATTTTTTAAATCAATATATATATCTATTTGATTTCACCTGAACAGTACGAATAGCATGTAATATATCTCTATTTGATTTCACCTAATCAGACTAATTGTAATTGTATACATGCTATTCAATAGATATATACATGGGTTTAAATCTAACAATTTTGTTTTAAATTTATATATATATTTATTTGATTTCATCCTGTGAATCTATTCAATATTTGTAGCCTTTCTCTTTTGGTAATAATTCATTTATTGAGTTGTGTAATAAAGACATCTAATTAATTGATCCCAATTCAAATTCTATAGTCATGCTAATAAATTACAGTTTAAATTTGAAATTTTTACTCACTACATTTAAAACCAACAGTTGAGTTTTTTGTCTTGTGATTGTTTTAAAATTTGAAATTGTCAATCACTTACTTCTTTTTGTCATACTTTTCCTTTGTTTATTTTTTCTGTCCAAATTAATTTGATATAAACACTTGATAATT